TCTTGTTTTAAAACAAGAAAGGCCCACTTACTTAGATACTCAAATTGGGCCCAACGGACCGGAACAATTATAGAGAAAGCAATTTCCTCGTTACAAAATAATTGGATACGTAAGTACACTTCGACACTATAACAATAACCATGGCGGCTCGAAATAAAATGAAATGAACAATGAAATTAAATGAAAAGAAATTTCTAAGAAAAAAAAAGGCCCGGAGACTCAAGATAACTGGCCTGAGTAACGTGGGGCGTTACATATATAACCTTTTGCAAGGAACTTTTTTAAGAACGAAACAATCATACAGCACAACTTACCTCCATATATTATCAGATAAGCCATCGCTCAATAGCATCATATTCATCATTCATTTTAAAGCTCTCTTTTTACGTTCAACTATTCCATTATGTTGAGGTTAATAAGGAGCAATAACTTCATGTATAATGCCACTAAAATAATAAAACTTGTTACGGGAAATATTAATATATTCACCACTCCTATCTCATCTTAACCTTTTTATCTTTCGATCCAATTAGTTTTATACTTCAGCTTTGAATTTAAAAAACACACTACTTGAACAAATGCTTTTAGGAGATAAATTTTCATATATCTAAAGAATCATGAACAAAGGAAATATAGTAGGTGGACATTTTTTAAATCAACTAAATGGTAATAAATTAATATTTGCAGTTCAATACCCCTAGTTGTGACAAGTTTAAAATGCTCTTGGCATATCTTACCTATACGCAAACATGACATTTTCCAGTTTCACGCAGCTCAAGAACATTAATTAAATTTAAAGTTTTAAGCCTTTTAATCAATGTATCATTCACATGTCCTAATTTACCATGTCATGCATGAATAGACTCAACGATAAAATTAGAACGAGAATGAGTTTCATTCAACGGAGCAGAAGTTTAAACAATGCTCAAAACAAATAAACCATCAGCTAAATATCCCTTACCAACAAAGTCACAATTTTAGTTGATGATAATCTTGTCTTCCTCAAACATAATCCTAATCCCAGCCCTGTTCGAAAAAATTTCAGACACAAATTTCCTACGCAGTGAAGGAACATACAAAACATCCCTTAATGATGAAGTTTTGCCAAATCTAAGCTTTAAAGGAACATTATTCCCTTTCCAAATTACTCCAATGACGGTCAAGTTGCGTATAAAAACACACTCGCCACTAGCAAAATCTTGCAAGAATTGGAAGAAGTCTTGGGTTGAACATAAGTGTTTGGAAGCCTCAGTGTCGAGAACACAGTAAGACTAATTTTCGACCAGATTCGCCTCCATGACCACTAAGGCAATGATCTCGTCTGTCTCAACAATGTGGGGATGTGGAGCATGTTTTTTATTTGACTTCTATTTCCTCTAGTTGATAGGATTTGTGTTGTGGTATTCTGCATACGTAATAGACTATTTTGGACTTCTCAATTCTTCCACCTAAATTTGTTAATTGAAAGTCTTTATTATGGTGTACTCTGTCCTTAGCAACATGATTTCTTTTACTTTTGAATCCGTCTTTAGTTGCACAATAAGATTCAACTAAGTTAGTATTAACTGAATTTAAGAATTGGGAAGGAAACTTATCTTTTTGCTTATTGGCTTCTTCTGTGAGCATGTAACTGATCAACTCTTGTACAGTCAAATCCTTCTTGTTGTGTTTCACATAGTTGTAGAGTCAAATAAGGTTTTCGTACTCATGCACCTGGTCCATGACAGGTTTCTCATCCAACATCTAAAATTGAAGCTACTTACCAACGACGTATTTCTTTCTGCTTGCATTGTCCCCTTCATATCTAGACTCCAAAGTATGGCAAAAAAATCTCTGTAGAATCTCCATTTATTCTTGTTAAAAATATCTTTAGTAATAGTTTCAATCCTTGACAACTTATTTTATTAATTTATTATTTATTAATGAGTATAGAACAAAAATATTTTGTCCAAACGACCTTTACAAACTTTTTTATCGACCAAGTTTTTTTTTTTTTTTTCAGTTTTATTCACACCAAAAAATATAAAATATTTCGTGTAGTAGAGCCTAACTTCCTATTTTAACATGACTGGACCAGGTTTCATGTTTTAGATTGTTGTAAACCAAGTAAACATGGACAAGTACCTATCTCCGGCCAAGACCAAAGGTATTCTCATTTCTTACAAAAGTAAAAATAAAAAGTAAAATTTAAAATAGTTGATTGCGATTTGTCATTTTCAGTCAGTTTTCTTTTCAACACACATTTAATTCATAACTAAACAGTGATGTAAAATAACTTTTGATTTTGTGGTTTGAATAATGTATGTATTTTGTCAATGACATTTAAAATTGATTCTTTAGTTTTTTAAATTTGAACTTTTTTTTGTAAAATGGCCATTGGACCCTTAGTTGACCAACGAAATGATGATATATTTCGTTATGACAATTAATTTTGTAACTAGGTTGGTTGATATATATTTTTCACTGAGTTACAAGTTCTTTTGATATATATTTTTAGGCATATGTGGCCTTCCTCTACTCCTCCAACAAGTGTTTCAGTCGTGCCGACTATCGCTCCCATTGTTACTACCTTCTTTTGGTCATTGTTTTCATTTTCTTCTTTGCTGCAACTACCCTTCTTCTAATCCAAAATACAACCTCAGCTCCGATCAATTTTACTTGGCAATGTTGATCCTTTTCCATAAAGGATCTTATTGCCATCAATATCCCTACAATCTATGAAGAAATAAATATCTAGTAGGAGTCATATGATAGGAGTGTTAGGATTGGTGGAGCCAGACCACAATTGAAGGATCGAGGAATTGGATGAAAAGGGATGCATGGGAGTTGCATGGACACTGTTAAAATTGATAGCTCATTGATGGTCAAAGCATGATTGACTTGCTGACATGGCTCATCAAACGTGGCTCTCTCATCTTTCATTTCTCAATATTGTTTTATATTACCCAGTGTTATTGGGAAATAGATTCTTCTAGAAAGGTTTCAAAACTAACATTATTCTGTTAGTTGTAATTCATTGAGAGTGAGAAGGGCTTTTTTGTAATATGGGTTGTCTTCAACCATGACTGGGGGGTGAGCGTGATTAATGAGAGGATTTTTGGGCAGAAGAAAAGTTGAGGTGGTTGAGAGAAAATTCCAGAAGAGTGATTACTCTGTTTTCAGCCGGAGAGGAATTTTGCATATAGCTGTGATAGCTGGGTTTTTTGTTTGCTCTGCCTTGTAGAGATTTTGTTCTCTGATTGTTGATTTCTGATAYTGCATAATGAATGGCCTAAGTGGATGTAGATCTAATTTTTGATCGAACCACTATAAGTATCGGTGTTCATCTTCTTCTTCATCTTATTCTTTAATTCTATTTCCATGTTGCTTTGTTGGTTAATTTCTGATTAATCGATTACAAGATATTGAGTTAGTTCCGTGTTTATAGCTCAATTGTTACAACAGATTGGTATCAGAGCTTTGTCTGAGACTGAATTAATTTACTAATTGTTCAAGTCTATCATGGCAGCTAAATTTGAGCTTGAAATATTTGATGGAAAGGGTGATTTCTCACTCTGGAAAAAGAAAATGAAGGCTCTACTGGTACAGCAGAAAGTCGCAAAGGCTCTTGATGATCCTTCAAAACTTGCTGGAGCTAAAACGGCAGAAGAGATAGTTGAGCTTCAAGAGATTGCATTCAGTTCGATAATATTGCACCTAGCAGATAACGTCCTTCGGAAAATTCATGATGCAAAGACTGCTCGTGAGGTATGGACCAAACTAGATGCTATTTATCTTACTAAATCATTGACGAATAAGTTGTACATTAAGGAAAAATTTTTCGGTTTCAAGATGGATGCTGCAAAAGATCTTGAACAGAATCTCGATGAATTTAACCGTATTGTTCTAGACCTTAGTAATATTGATGAAGTAATGTCTGATGAGAATAAAGCCATTATTCTTTTGAACTCTCTTCCTGAATCTTATAATGAAGTGAAAACTGCAATTAAATATGGAAGAGATACTTTAACCTTAGACATTGTTCTGAATTCATTAAGGTCTAGAGATTTGGAAATCAAGAAGAATAAAGGAAAAGAAAATGAAGCTTTAATGGCAAGAGGCAGAACTGAAAAGAAGTTCACTAGAAGTAGTAGCAAAGGTAGATCAAAATCTCAAGGGAAAACTAAGAGATGTTACTACTGTCATAAAGAGGGACACATTAGAAGAAACTGCTATGAACTAAAAAATAAGAGAAAGAATGAAACAAAAAAGGGAGAGGAACAACATAATGTTAATGTAACAGAGAATTATGAGACTGCTGAAGTTCTTACAGTTTCTGAAGGAAATTTTGGTTCTGAATGGATCCTTGACTCCGGTTGCTCATTTCATATGACTCCTAATAGGCATTGGTGTCAAAATTTTCAGGAGATAGAAGGTGGGAAAGTTCTGTTAGGAAACCATCATGAATGTAGTATTAAGGGAGTTGGTTCAATACAAGTAAAAATGTTTGATAACCAAGTAAGGATTCTCTCCTCTGTTAGATATGTTCCTGATTTGAAAAGAAATTTGCTGTCTCTTGGTATCTTTGATAAAGCTGGTTATGTTTGTAAGCTTGAAAACAGTATAATGAAAATCATTAAAGGGGCCAGTGTAAAAATTAAGGGAAAGCTTGAAAATGGTTTATACATAATGGATGGAAATACAGTAATTGGAACTACAGCAGTAACTTCTTTTAAAGCACAGCAGGAAACTAAACTTTGGCATTTGAGATTAGGCCATGTGAGTGAAAGGGGGCTGAAAGAGTTAAGCAATCAAGGACTTCTTGGTAACTCAAAAATTGGTACTCTTGAGGTGTGTGAGCACTGCATTTATGGGAAAACTACCAGAGTATCATTTGGTAAAGGACAACATCATTCAAAGGGAATTTTGGATTATGTACATGTTGATTTGTGGGGACCCGAAAGGACACCTACAATGGGTGGAGCTAAATATTTTCTCTCAATTGTTGATGATTACTCAAGAAGAGTATGGACTTTTTTGTTAAAATCTAAGGATGAAACTTATAGAACGTTTGTTGACTGGAAGATACTAGTTGAAAAGCAGACAGAGAAGAGTTTGAAAATCTTAAGAACTGATAATGGTCTTGAGTTTCTGAACAATGAGTTTAAGAACTTCTGTGTAAAAGAAGGAATTCAAAGGCATCTCACAGTAAGAGGAACTCCACAGCAAAACGGTCTTGCTGAGAGGATGAATCGCACTCTCCTTGAAAGAGTGAGATGCATGCTATCAAACTCAAAGTTGCCTAAGAAATTCTGGGGTGAAGCTCTTACCACTGCCACATATTTAGTCAATAGATCTCCATCATCAGCTATTGAGATGAAAACTCCTATTGAAAAGTGGACTGGTCATCCACCTAATCTTAGTAATCTAAGGATTTTTGGGTGCATTGCATATGCACACTTCAGAGAAGGCAAGTTGGATAACAGAGCTAAAAAGTGTCTGTTTCTCGGTTATTCATTTGGGGTAAAAGGCTACAGACTCTGGTGCACTGAAAAAGGAGAAGAAAAATGCATTATAAGCCGGGATGTAGTCTTTAATGAAGATAAGATGGCTTACAAAGACTTTCCAGCTGAACAGACCATAGAAATATCTCAAATGGGAACATTTGAGATGGAAATTGATTCACCAATCCCATCAGGGAATAATAGTCCTAATACTCCTGATACAACTGATGTGGGTCCTAGTGAAGAAATAGAAACAGAAGAAAATCAATCAGAGAGGGATGATTTGCAGAATTATAGCCTTGCTCGAGACAGAAAAAGGAGAGAAATTCGTCCTCCTTCAAGATATGCCAATGCATATTTGGTGCATTATGCATTTAATGCAAAAATGGAGCAGGCTGATGTTGAACCCCTTACCTACAAAGCAGCCATAAATGGAAAAGATAAAGATAAATGGCTTGAAGCAATGAGAGAAGAAATGACATCTCTCATAAAAATGAGACTTGGGTTTTGGTGGAGAAACCTTTAAATCAGAAACTTGTAGGATGCAAATGGATCTACAAGTTGAAACCTAATGTTGATTCTTGTCAACCATTCAGGTACAAGGCAAGACTTGTTGCCAAGGGTTTTACACAAGAAGAAGGTGTAGACTATGGTGAAATTTTTTCTCCGGTGGTTAGGCATACCTCCATCAGAACTCTTCTCTCATTGGTTACTGTTCATGACTTAGAATTGGAACAATTGGACGTTAAAACAGCATTCCTTCATGGTGACTTTTCAAAAACCATTTATATGCAACAACCACAAGGATTCACTGCTGAAAAAGATGAAAATAAGGTATGTTTACTGAAAAAATCTTTGTATGGCTTGAAACAAGCACCTAGGCAGTGGTACCTCAAATTTGATTCATTTATGCTGAAAAATGGATTTACAAGAAGTAAACTTGATCACTGTGTGTATTTTAGACACTGCCATAGTAAACCATCTATATATCTTTTGCTATACGTTGATGATATGTTAATAGCATGTAAAGATATGTTGGAGATAGATCAACTTAAAGGAAAATTGAAGAGAGATTTTGAAATGAAGGAACTTGGCCAAGCAAGAAGAATTCTTGGTATTGATATTTTGAGAAATAGAAGGTCAGGTACCTTGAAACTTTGTCAAGAGAGTTATTCAGATAAAATGCTTCAGAGATTTCGAATGACTGAATGTAAGCCTGTTTCTACTCCTTTAGGCAATCACTTTAAGTTGTCATTATCTCATTCACCTAGAACAGATGAAGAAAAGCAAGAAATGCTCACTGTCCCATATGCCAATGCTGTAGGGAGCCTAATGTACCTCATGGTCTGTACTAGACCTGATTTAGCACACAGTTTGAGTGTGGTCAGCAGATATATGGCCAATCCGGGGAGAAATGACTGGTCTGCAGTCAAGTGGATACTCAGGTATGTAAAAGGAACTAAAAACCATGGAATTCTCTATACTAAAGAAATGTTGAAACAAAAGAAGTTGACTGGTTTTGTAGATTCAGACTATGCAGCCGACTGTGACAGGAGAAGGTCAGTAACCGGTTTGGTTTTCATGCTATTTGAAAACACCATAAGCTGGAAATCCTCGTTACAAACAGTTGTAGCCTTATCAACAACTGAGTCCGAATATATGGCAGTGACAGAAGCTGTCAAAGAAGCTCTGTGGTTACAAGAACTCATCAGAGAATTGGGTGAAGATTTAAGAGATCAAGTCACAATTTTTTGTGATAGCCAAAGTGCTATCTACTTATCTAAGAACCAGACTTATCATGAAAGAACAAAGCACATTGATGTGCGGTTTCACTTTATTAGAGACATAATAGCTGAAGGAGAAATTAAGTTGGAGAAGATTGCATCATCTGAAAATGCTGCAGATGCATTAACCAAGTCTCTGACTGCTAGAAAATTTGAGAGTTGTATGCAAACTCTCAGTTTGGGTTCTGAATAAATTAGAATCAGTGGTGGCCTTCATGTTGGAGTATCAGATGTTCAATGCAGCTATCAAGGTGGAGAAATGTTAAAATTGATAGCTCATTGATGGTCAAAGCATGATTGACTTGCTGACATGGCTCATCAAACGTGGCTCTCTCATCTTTCATTTCTCAATATTGTTTTATATTACCCAGTGTTATTGGGAAATAGATTCTTCTAGAAAGGTTTCAAAACTAACATTATTCTGTTAGTTGTAATTCATTGAGAGTGAGAAGGGCTTTTTTGTAATATGGGTTGTCTTCAACCATGACTGGGGGGTGAGCGTGATTAATGAGAGGATTTTTGGGCAGAAGAAAAGTTGAGGTGGTTGAGAGAAAATTCCAGAAGAGTGATTACTCTGTTTTCAGCCGGAGAGGAATTTTGCATATAGCTGTGATAGCTGGGTTTTTTGTTTGCTCTGCCTTGTAGAGATTTTGTTCTCTGATTGTTGATTTCTGATACTGCATAATGAATGGCCTAAGTGGATGTAGATCTAATTTTTGATCGAACCACTATAAGTATCGGTGTTCATCTTCTTCTTCATCTTATTCTTTAATTCTATTTCCATATTGCTTTGTTGGTTAATTTCTGATTAATCGATTACAAGATATTGAGTTAGTTCCGTGTTTATAGCTCAATTGTTACAACAGACACGTTGGCCGACGGGACAATGTTACGCTACATCAGAGTGTTTCAATGCTGCTGAAGAGAGAGAACACATTTCAGAAGTTCGCAGCATTGACATGATAGGGACAACGTCTCAACGTTGCCGCGAGGGAGGCGCGTGCATTGAGCTTTGCATATATAGCATTGAGACGTTGAACGCTATGACGCAGATTATTATAGAACCATCGTCTTTGTTTAGCTTTAGAGTAGCCGTGGGGATTATTGTTTCAGCTGAATTTTAGAGGGTTCAGTGACAGATTTGAGGCGACGAATCGGGACATTGGCCGCACACAGAGAGGGCAGATCGAGATCATTGTTTGGGGTAATTGTATATTGATTCTTTGTGAGCTCTTTCATTCATGTACCTAAGTATAGTGTGTTATAATACTTACATGCTAGAGGGCTTTTATTGGGATCTGTACAGGGTAAATATCTGGGTGAGATGTTAAGAGTGTTTTGCTTGTATCTAATTCTGATTATAGTGGAACCCGCATCTGAGCGGAAGATTGGACGTAGCCTATTGGGGTGAACCAATATAAATTCTCGTGTCGTTTATTCCTTTCCCTACATTTCTCTTTGTGTTGTGTGATTGACTTAGATAACTGGAGATTACCGTGTAATCGTAAATTGTCAAGGGGCACATTAATTTCCTAATAAGGAGTAGCTCGATCTAAGAATCCACTCATCACCAAGAGCATTTTCTAATACTGTCAGCACCTATGCTGAATCATATCGTTCATGGACATTTGTTGAGGTTTGTTCATCATAATTTTCATGAATTTTTTTCTACTTCTTTTTATTTATGATGATGCTGAATCATATCGTTCATGGACATTTGTTGAGGTTTGTTCATCATAATTTTCATGAATTTTTTTCTACTTCTTTTTATTTATGATGGGTAATAGACGCGTTTCTATGTGGCAATAAGAACACTTTCTCTCTTATCTTCCCTTTATCTCGATTTGTTATTTAGTTATTTTCCTTTAGATTTAGCTTTATTTTCAAATATTCATGTAGCAACTAAAGATTCAACTTCCTTCTTTTGTGATTTTTTTTTGAATTAATTTAATAATTAATTCATATGTGTGGTAATAAATTAAAACAAATTAGAGAGGAATTGTATTTCGACTATTTAATGGGCATATAAGGATCCGTTTGGTAGCGTTTCCCATTTCGTATTTCTTGTTTCTAATTTTTTTAGAACTAGAAATGAGAATATGTTTGATAACCCTTTATGTTTTTTGTTTGTTGAAGAAAACAAATAGAAACAAAACTATGTTTAAAAATATAAATGATTAGCTTTAAATAAAAAAATAAAATTTCAAAACATTTATAATTTGAAAATAAATTTTTTTTGTTTTAACAAAATATAATAACTTTAACTAAAGAATATGTTTTCCAAAGGTGTTAAATTAAAAGAAAAAAAAAAGAAGAAGAAAATATAAATTATTAGCTTAATAAAAATAAAATTTCACAAAATTTTTAATTTGAAAATAGAAAATTTTTGTTTTAAGAAAATGTAATAACTTCAAAGAATAAATTTTCAAAAGGTAAAAACAATTTGGATATGGTAAGGATCGAAGTCTGGACGTGGGAGTATGTTAAGATAATTTTTTAAAATAATATTTTTATTTAAACTTATTTTTAAAATAATACTGCATTAAATAAAATTAAAGAAAAAAGGTTTCTTTTCAAACATATCCAATTATTTTTTTTCTTTTGAAACATATCCAAAAAAATATTGATTTGGAAAATTTCCACCAGTTGGTTGTCTCTGAGAGATGACCATAATGACGTGGCGTTTTATTGGCATCACGTCGGATTTTTTTTTTTTAATTCAAGACGAGACGACCACATGTCGGCATGTATTTGTGGCCGATTTTTCAAAAGACGGTGATGACGTTGATATTTAGAAAAAAGTAAAATATTATTATATATTATAAATTAAATAACCTGTTTTCATTCAAACCTTGTTCTGACGCAATGGGTGTGAACTTTCCTTTTCTTCAAGATGTATACAGTTCGAACCTTGACGTGTTTTTTCATTTTTTTCCTACTTTTTTTAATATCAATTTATTATTATTATTGAAAATTCTAATAATTATATATATAGACACATACACATACATACATATAATATATATATATATACATAGTTTATTAAAAATAATATAAATAATAAATAATAACACACAAAATATAATGATAATAAAAAATAATAATATATTGTTTAAAAGAAAATACAATGTAATAAAAAAATAATAGTAATAAGTCAAAAGTTGATTAATAGTAAAAAGAAAAAAAATTCTTCCTCCGGCTCAAACCTGTGAAAAGAAGAGAGAGAATTGGGTCAACATCCACCGCATCCACCGCTCCAGTAATTGATATCCAATATAAATATAAAATTCTACTGTTTCTTATATAATATATTATATTATTTGTTTTTTCTTTAAAAAAAAAACGTTGTTGTGGTTATTTCTTGACGAAATAACCACCAATGCGTGCCAACACACGTCCATATCTTGATTTCAATAAAACCTACTCCAATAGAGCGCCACGTCTATATGGTCATCTCTTCAAGAGACGACTGYTGAAAATGACATGGTCGTCTCATCAATGTAACATTATTTTAATAATAAGTTTAAATAAAAACATTATTTTAAAAAAATCCAGTATGTTGTCGATTTTTAGATCTCTCTAGAACCACTCGATCACAGCGTGGTAAATTGCAATTCAACGCGCGAAATAAGTTCTATCGAAATAACGCCTCACACAAAAAAGAAAAATAGAAATGGCAAGAACGAAACTACTTTTTATAGGTTCCAAAAATTGATCCCTCTCTTGGAAATGTTTCTCACATTTTAGAAACGAGAAACAAGATTGGTTACCAAACATGTCTATTTCTAAAAAATGAGAAACAAGAACAAGAAATATGAAACGAGAACGTTAGCAAACGAGGCCTAAGTGATCTTGATTATGTGCCCATGAAATGGTGTGGCTTGCTGAGTAGAAACCAACCCATTAATCTTAGGAGATTATGGGAAACCCTATATTAACCTAATAATATAGGGTTATAGTCTCCAGTACACTATCGTTCTTGTGCCTCATGTTCCCCATCTAACATGAGTATTGCCCATATTTGGTCCGGATTGCATAGTTGAGGAAGACCACAAACCACAACTTCTTGCCGGTCATGTCAATCTACCTAATGGATCTAGGTAATTCTAATTTCTTTATAGGTTTTGGTTTTCTTGCATGCTTAGATCTTTGGTCTTGATTGTTCTGAAATTTTATGGTTTTTACGTTAGAATAATCATGAATTATGATTTCTTTAATTTTTCCAACCAGGGGTGGGAGAGCTGGTTTTTCATGGATGATTACTTGATCTTTGTAAATTACATTTAGGTATGTTGTTTCTAATAACCTATTTGTTTAAACAAGATGCTAATTGAATTATTTAGATTGATGAATTATTGAACAATTTTGTATGGATCTAGTTTGAAAATTGTTCGAATTTATAATTTATTGATTTGATAAAGCTTATTATTTTTATTTTCTTTATTAACAAATAAATTATGATGTAGATGTTGTTTGGCTTAAATAAAATTAAACATAATAATCAAAGTTATTTGTGGCACTAAGCGCCACTGGAAGCTTGCTTTGTGTGGAGTGCCACTAAGGCTTTCCTAACTGCGGCAACTGCAACTTGAAGTTATTTTTATTATTATTTTTAGTTGTTTTATATATTTATAATCCGTTATAAATATTTGTGAGCATAATAAGTACAAAGGATCTTTTATTTTTTTAATCTCTAAAGTGTGATGAGGTGTTAAATGAGCAGTTTATCAATACTTGATACAATATTTATAATTTTCATGAATGTTTTTCTTTTGAAAATATTATTGTGAATTGTTGAAATAACTTAAAAGTATTTTATTTTCATATGAAAACAATTAATAATAATTAAGTAATAATTTTGTGAGATTTAAGTATTGTTGTTTGTGCGAATTGTGATCAGTCCAGAGGAATGTCACAAGGCCAAATAACAAATACACTTACAATTATGAAATTAATCATTGATATTAGATTATTGTAGGTTACAATTAGTGCTTCGTAGCCTATGTTGAATTATTGATGAATTAAAATATGAATAATATTTCTTTTGGGAAAATCTATTTTTTTTTTGTTTATGGATTTAATAAATTGTTTAGAGGATTTTTTTTCCATTATTAAATTATGTATATAAAAATATCATTATTAATTTTGAAAATAATTTTGGTAGTTTTATTTTCATAAAGATCAAATTAATAATAATTTGAGTTACATATGTTGCATAATTGTCTGATACTTTTGGTGGTTGTTGGTTTGATGAATCATGCTGCCAAAGTAGCCTCTGATTTCTCATATTGATATCATTCAAAATTATCAAATGCTTATGGGCCTGTGTATTTATGTGCTCTGTAGTGGGAACAAAGGAAGACTTTATTTTGGCCAAATAACATGGTCACTTATAGTTATATCGTGATAAGTATGGATAATATAAAGTTATGTCTTGTGAGTGATTGTCGGCCCAAAAGGAAAGCTTTCACTCAACATGATTGGTTATCAAGTTGATATTTTTCTACGAAACAAACGTGACCATCTGAAGATGCCGGACATCTAAAATTCCGGACATCTGAAATTCCAGGCATCTGAAGATGTCGGGCATCTGCATTCCCAAAAAACAAACGGCCCCTTAGTAACCTAATTTTTGACCATATATATTTTAAGGAAAATGAGTTAAGTAAGAAAATACAAAATGTACACTTTAATTAATTATTTCCTTAAAGAAGGAAATTAAAGTTCGTACTAAGATTTATTTAGAATATGTTGGGTGTGTTGCCCTAAACTCGTAGTTTGTAATTAATGTAATAAAAAATTATATTCAATATAGTTTTATTCAATCAATTTATTGTAGAATTCATAGTAATGCATTGTCTAAATCCAACAAACTAAACATCTAAGGTTATTATAATGTAACGGGACAATATATATACTGGGTATATATTTGATATACTCTCGATATACAAGTTGATAATGTCCCGGGAATAACCTAAAGGGTCTATGGTATATGGATAAGACTGGGTACCTTATCCTGGCAACACTATGGATACGGCCCACTTTGTAAATGTTACAGACGACCCGATCCAGGTCGTCCGTGTAGAGACATGTGAATCGGGGTATCCTATACAATGAGTTTGTATAAGACCGGACCACGAAATAACCGATCTTTAGATATAACCTCGTTGAGTAACAGATTACTATTTCATAGGATGACCAGACAACTCATTCTCAATCCTATGTGAGTTATGAACTCCTGCCTGTGAGGGCTCGTCCTCTGATCCGTATGCGTGAGAGTGACTCGAGTTGCCGACTCAATATTCCTACCATTTTGGGAACGAGACCGAGTGGGGAACTAGGAAAATAACTTCACGAGATGGAATTCACTCCTCCCCAACTTTCGGGGAGTAGATGAGTGTTCTCTTAAATGCTGACTCTGGGACATGAACACGGGGCCCGACCTTCTC